CATCGCATTTAGAGTGTAAGCTCATTTGAAACAAGTCCTCATTATTTATTTTTCCTGGAAATGGTTGTCAGGTGTTCAAAAAGTCACTGAAAATGTCCTAAAATTCCCCCCCCCCACCACCACCGGTCCCATCCCTAAAATGTAAGTGTCCCTCTATGGCTATTGGAAGTGTTGGGTCTTATGCCAGGGTATTCCAATATAGTATGTGAATTAAAAAGCAACTACTCTAAAAACCTCCTGTCTTGTATAAACCGAAACGAAAGCCGCACATAAAGAAACTGGTTACAAAATGTGGTTAAAATGTTATGTTGCTCTATTTTTCACCCAGTAAGCTATTCCTTGCTTGTTAAGAGCAGATCAAGAATGATGTATACAGTAGTATTTGTTGTCGTGCTGCTGAGCTGCAAGCATTTTTGGGTGACCTCTGTGTGACCCCTGTCGAGGTTATGGGGCATGTAACAGTATCTTTGGGGATTGCAGCCTAAGTGCGTCAGGTCAGCCTTTCCTTTAAACGTTGGTGCAGCCGTGCCCGTGGGCTCTGCATTTATACCATCCGACTCACGGAGCAGCGCTGGGAGGATTCGGAGCTTTAAAGGGTCGTAAAGCTCATGCACGAGTCATAAAGCTCTCCGCAGGCTGACGCCCTGCAGTCTATTTTAGCTGCCCAGGAGTTTTCATTTTGCGGCTTTTTTTATGTGACCTCGTAAAAACGCCGTCGGTGCTGGGTACGGATTGGCTCCGTGGGACCGCTGCAGTTAGAGTTACAGCCTCTGACAAATTGTTCCGGTCTGAAGTCAATAGTAATTCAGCATGCAGCTGCCTCAGCAGAGATCCCCCCCCATCCTCTCTCAACCTCTTCTGCATTTTATCTCTAGCTTATCTGCTCTGTTCCTGCCCCCCCCCACCCCCCATTCTCTGTCTTTCTATGCTGGTTTGCATCCTGGCCTCTCTCTGACTCCTGTTACCTCTTAACTTCCTTCTTCATTCCAGTCAATTCATAAATATCTCTCCCTTACTGTTCTCTTTCCTTTCATTGTATTTTAGCTTGTCTTATTTGACCTCCTCTTCCTCTCTGGCATGTAGCACACCGCTTCATCACCCCCTTCAATCCCCAGGGGTTCCCTCACCTCAAATGTTACATATATACGTATACGTATATAGAATTAAAAAAAAAAAATTCTTGAATTACGTCCTGTATTTAATTACCCTTTTTATTCTAAGTGGTTGGAGATTGAGATATAGCTACGAGGACTTAAACCAATGTCTGCCGAGCCGGACACAATGAAACAGGAAGACTTTAAATGTAACCGCCCACAGTTTATCATTCCTTTCCTGCAAACACTGAGCCAAGGACATCACTGTCACCATTAAAGGGACAATTCATGATGCAATTGACCCCAAATCTATTTCCTTACATTCTATAAATAATTCATTGAAAATATGCCAAAAACAAATAGGAATGTTAAATATAAAACATATAGGTTTCATTTGTGTAAATGGGGCTATATCTCGAGGGGGATTTAGTACATGATGGAAAAGTGCTTGGATGGTCAGAGGGGACATACGGTACCTTTCCTCCTGTGATGTCTGTGAGTGAGGCGGCGGTGGTACTTGCTAATCACTGTATCCATTTTTTTTGCAGTGGTGTCGGGGCACAGTTAGTGTAGTACTAGATGTGTTAAAAGGTTAGTGTTGCAAGACGTGATGGTGTGGCAGTGGTAGACATGTTAGGGGCACATTTATTGCACCATTAGTAGGGTTGTCTTGGAACTAGCCATGGTAATTTGCATAGTTAATTATATATATGTGTTAAATCACTGGATATGACATCACAGTATGTAAATCACAAGGAGTGACAAAAAAATACATTTGGAAAGGGGAGAAATGCTGTAAATCAGAGTTTTCACTCAATAGACCCGGTGTCAGGCTGTCTGCATCATAGACTGTGTCTCCACCTGTTAACCCCAATCTGTGTCTCTCTCCACCTGTTAACCCCAATCTGTGTTTCTCTCCTCCTGTTAACCCCCATTTGTGTCACACTCCTCCTGTTAACCCCCATCTGTGTCTCTCTCCTCCTGTTAACCCCATCTGTGTTTCTCTCCTCCTGTTAACCCCCATCTGTGTTTCTCTCCTCCTGTTAACACCCATTTGTGTCTCTCTCCACCTGTTAACCCAATGTGTCTCTCCACCTGTTAACCCCAATCCGTGTCTCTCTCAACCTGTTAACCCAATGTGTCTCTCTCCACCTGTTAACCCCATCTGTGTCTCTCTCCACCTGTTAACCCCATCTGTGTATCTCCACCTGTTAACCCCCATCTGTGTCTCTCTCCTCCTGTTAACCCCCATCTGTGTCTCTCTCCTCCTGTTAACCCCCATCTGTGTTTCTCTCCTCCTGTTAACCCCCATCTGTGTTTCTCTCCTCCTGTTAACCCCAATCTGTGTTTCTCTCCTCCTGTTAACCCCCATTTGTGTCACACTCCTGTTAACCCCATCTGTGTCTCTCTCCTCCTGTTAACCCCCATCTGTGTTTCTCTCCTCCTGTTAACCCCCATCTGTGTTTCTCTCCTCCTGTTACCCCCATTTGTGTCACACTCCTCCTGTTAACCCCCATTTGTGTCACACTCCTCCTGTTAACCCCCATTTGTGTCACACTCCTCCTGTTAACCCCCATTTGTGTTTCTCTCCACCTGTTAACCCAATGTGTCTCTCTCCACCTGTTAACCCCCATCTGTGTATCTCCACCTGTTAACCCCCATCTGTGTCTCTTTCCTCCTGTTAACCCCCATTTGTGTCTCTCTCCTCCTGTTAACCCCATCTGTGTCTCTTTCCTCCTGTTAATCCACATTTGTGTCACACTCCTCCCGTTAACCCCCATTTGTCTCTCTCTCCACCTGTTAACCCCATCTTTGTCTGTCTCCTCCTGTTAACCCCATCTGTGTATCTCCATCTGTGTCTCTCTCCTCCTGTTAACCCTCATATGTGTCTCTCTCCACCTGTTAACCTCATCTGTGTCTCTCTCCTCCTGTTAACCCTCATCTGTGTCTCTCTCCACCTGTTAACCTCATCTGTGTCTCTCTCCTCCTGTTAACCCCATCTGTGTCTCTTGCCTCCTGTTAACCCCCATCTGTGTCTCTCTCCACCTGTTAACCCCCATCTGTGTCTTTCTCCACCTGTTAACCCCCATCTGTATCTCTCTCCACCTGTTAACCCCATCTGTGTCTTTCTCCACCTGTTAACCCCCATCTGTGTCTTTCTCCACCTGTTAACCCCCATCTGTGTCTCTCTCCAACTGTTAACCCCCATCTGTGTCTCTTTCCACCTTTTAACCCCCATCTGTGTCTCTCTCCACCTGTTAACCCCCATCTGTGTCTCTCTCCACCTGTTAACCCCTATCTGTGTAAAAGTGGGGAGAAGGACTGTGATGGCATCTGAGGAGGCACAAAGCTCTTGGGTGAAATGTTAGGTCATGATTAGTTGGAGCGTGGAATCCGAGCGAGGCTGAGCTGGAAGCCAGTGTTGATCGCCATTATAGCACTTGTGTGGGATCTTTCCTTAGCAAACCCACTTTTATCTGAGTAAGCAGTTTTCATGTATGTGTTAAACATATTTGTTATAATGTGTTTTTGTAAAGCCATGTGCTCATTCAAACAATAGCCTAGTGGGTATTGTAGTTTGTAGCTTGTTTTTTTTAATCTAATTAGGCCCCACTTGATTTTGATTTTTCTTTTGTTAAAAAAGTAAAAATAAATTTAAAATAATTGTATAAATTCTCAACTACTTGTTTTATTTAGAAATGTCCTTTTCATTTCTCATTTCTAAGACGTTTAGCGTTTGGCAAGAATTAAATAGTAAAATGCGTGAGATATTCCGGAGACAGCATTTCTTGTAGACTCCCATCTATTTTCTAATGCGAAAAAGAGAATGACATGCCAAATATCAGAGTAACGTGAAGTCCTTTAAACACAGAAAGCAGTGAGCAGAAAACAGACAGACAGGCGGATTGTAATTTAAATGAACATTACCTCTCTCCTTGTACATGGAGAGGAAAAACTGCAACTCCGTCATCTTCAAAAGTAAGAATAAATCACAAAGACTTAACAGCGCTTATCTATTGTTATAATCCTCTTATGTGTAAGATGATCGAGAGAGAGAGCTGATTTTTCCACTTTATTTTCAAAATAATAAAGTGTACGAAACGGTTCTCCGTAAGTCTGAAAGATGCTGTATAATAGAAAAGGTATGAAGCCAAAGCCAAGGGGATGTCGAGTTTTGAAAAACATTTTTTTTCTGTATTTGAACCAGATATAAGCAAACAAAAAGCAAAATTGCTTAAATTTCTACAGCAATCTTTTTTTAATATTATTATTAAATTTCTAAGGTATACGTGCTAATAGTTTTCTATTTTATTTGATACATGTTAACAATGTATCTTTTTTTAGTTCTAATTTAAAATCTCTCTCTCATCTTCTTACCGCTCCTTTCCTCCCGCACTTAATCCCTACTGCATCCCCTGCTCATTCTCTTCATAACCCATACACCTCTCCTACTGCAATTGCCAGCCCTCCCTGTGCCACCCATTCTCTTCATTAGCCTCCTGCTACTGGAATAACCAACCACTTTAAACCCATCTTGTCATGGTCTATGAGCCCTCCCTAAATTCAACACCCCTGTTGTCCCAGTTGATCAAAATGAAGTAAAACAAAAAGAAAAAAGATTCAGCGCTTGTAGAGTACAGTTAATGTTCTAAGGCAGCTCAATTACCAAGTCCTGAGTCTCTCTTGTCCGGTGTAGAGAAATGAAGAAGCAGAAGGGTGGTGTAGCGCCTATTATGTCCAAGAAGATATGTAGAATAAAAATAAAAGGGGAAAACTTATAGTGTAGTATGTAAGTAACAAAGGTTAAAAAAAAAAGGTATACCACTTTTTGGGAGTGTATCACCAACCTTTGCACTTGGTCGAATAATCCCCGCCTAGGGATATGCTGTGGTCCACAGGTCTGTGAATGGTCTTCTTCTACAGCAGTATCCTCATTGGAATGTGTTAAAATATATTTAATTTAAAATACATATATTTTTAATTTTTTCCCACATACATATGAGGATACTGCTGTAGAGGAAGACCATTCACAGACCTGTGAACCACAGTATATCCCTAGGCGGGGATTATTTGACCAAGCGTGCATAATGCAGGAAAGGCCCTGTAGTTTTGTATAGGAGACCCCATGTAGGGGTCTGTGCATAAAAGCCATGTGTGGCCAAAATAAAATCAGTTGACTCCCAGAACTGTGTGTCGTTTAGTTACTGGGGGAAGGTGTCTTTGATTGTTATATTGCTTATTTCAGCTTTGAGGAAGGAATAGCGGAGATACCTATGCTGGGCATTAGAGCTCCGTTACACCTTACTATGAAGCTCTCGACTGATTTCAATACTGTCAGAAAATCTTTCCAAAGGATTTATCTGCTTAACTTCCCATAGAGTTTACTGGGGACCTTTGTAGATAAATCATTTATAAAGTTTTTTCTAACCGTTTTGAACCAGCTGAAAACCAGGCCCAGATTAAAAATTAGAAATCTTAAATGCCTGATATATATTTTTTAGGCAAGACATATATTCTTCTTTGCTATATGTTATTTATTCATTTTGTTATTTATTTAGTATAGTGAGCTTATGCTTAGCCACCACAGAGACAGTACAGCATAGAGCTCCACAGCAATAAACCTCATAGTAACGAGTTGTAAATGTTCACCCCGATATGGAAATAACCGGTTCATATTAACTGAAGTGGGTAGTATGTTCTTGTGGAGAGTTTTATTTATTTATTTATTTTTAAGGTGTCTTGCACTAGAGTGGAACTCTCGATATTGATAAAAATGACCAGAAGTCCCATATTTTGGAATAACGTTTACTGTAGATATTTATTAAATGTGGCATTGTCCTAAAGCCGGGCAGAATGTATGAAATAAAATCAATGTTTTTATCTATAAATACACATCACTGCACTGATTATCATTCACATTTCTTTACATTTATAAAACCTTAATGACGTTGTAGGGTAGCTGAATAGGTACACTATTTTAAATGTTCAAGTCATGCTTTGTGAAAATGACATTTTGTTTTTTCTATTCGTGCGTATACCCCAACTAATCTGAAACATATCTCTGCTTTAAAATTCCAATAATCTGATCACTGAATAGCGTGCGGGCGGTGTGTGTCAAAATTCTGTATAATGACTCGAATATATCACCGATTGTGATCACACCTTCTCTCTACAAGTACATATTTATCTATTAATCATGTCTTCACAATTGCAGATCCAATTGCAATCGAGTGACTTAAAAGCTCCTATAAAAATCATTATCTACATTTTGTCATTTTGTAGTGTTCAAGGGAAGATAATGTAGTGACTCTCTATTTTTTTTTCTTTAAGTTTCCCAATCACCTCCAATCTAAGTAATACGACTTTACTTGTTACTTTAGCAACAGACATTCTATGATCATTGCATGGGCTAACCGCACGGTCATGTGAAACAGTGATATGGGGAATGAGATTGGGCTGAATTTATCGTCTATGCAGAAGCTATAGTAATGATGTACTAACTGTTATGTGTAAGGTAAACCAACATTTCATTGGTAAACGTGAAACAATAAATATAAAATCAGCACATGTTCTGCTGCCTTATGGATCAGAATATTACAATCAGGTCTTTTGTCACAGTTTTTTCTGCCATCATTTGCTGAAATCACTGCATGTGTAAGCCCCGCCCCTAACAGAGAGAGAACGCAGGAGGAAGTAGATGCTTTCCTTGTGCATACATGTGTGTGTATGGTGTGTCTTGCTATGTGGGTGTATACCACTATGCTCGGAGAGATTCTTTTTCAGCTTAGTGGGAAGGCTCCACATCGTGCTATCTGTAACTCCATTCCTAGAAACACTGTGGCTATTATCTACTTTAATCTTTAGCTGCAGTTCCATCCACATTTTCTGACAAACTGCCCCTTAAGCCATTGCTGAAACACAATGAGAAGGCTAGACCTTGCTGAAGGAAACTGCAAACCCTGTATGCTTTTTAATTATTTTTTTGTGTGTATTCTCTAATTAACAAACTAAGGATCAGTTCCAGCCACTAGTCTTCTTTTAAGGCTTCATATGAATATTCTTCAAATGCAACAAAATAAAGTTAACTTGAATGTGTGTTATACGTGGGTATGTGTATTTTGGGATAGACATTTCACTCTGAGGTCACAACATCCTTGTGAAAACGCATTGTCAGTGTATTTACTATCATCATCTGAGCTATCTTATAATCCCTCCATTATTACTAAAGAAGACCGCCAGGGCCCCTTTCTAGGGGTCACTATGACTTTTAGAACCAGGATGAATTATGGGAAAAGTTCTTACAAATAGAACAGTACTTATTCAGAATGCTAGCACCCGTTCCTTGTTCATTTGGAAATTGAGAGATAATTTTACATTTAGTGCTCTTTGTTATTATACAAAAAACACGCACTGTTTCTTTAAAAGATTTAAGACCAGCGTTTGGTTGTAGTGTACATGTGTATTTGTTGGGTTTTTAAATCTTCTATCTTTATTTTCGTATAAGAGTACTTATTTTTACTTTATCAGCTTTAACTGATAAACAAGTAATCCTAATACCCATTGTACAGCGCTACGGAATCTGATGGTGCTATATAAATAATATAATAATTGCATGAGTTAAGTGACATTTCTTCCTTCGCTCCGTGAAAGGGGCGAAGCTTATTGGTTTAGAGTGGTCGGATGATGCGCTCAGCCAATCAGTAGCTCCCCATTTATAAAACTGGCTCATAGCGTGGAGAAGGTATGTTTCTTACCCTGCCCAGCTGCACTCCGCGCTTCATGAAACTGAAATTTTATAAACCGGATGCCATCTAGGGAGGGGAGGGGTAGTGGACATCACCACTGGAGGAAACTTTGGTGTAAAACCGTTCGAGAATGGTTTAACCCTTGAGGTAAGAGTGCCTCCAGGGCCTTCTGGCACCATAACAACTTTATTTAGATAATGTTGTTTTTGTCCCTGGGTCTCCTTTTAATCATAAAAACATTTTGACATTTTATTGGGCTAGTTTGGGAGGTGTTGGTTAAGTGAATGAATCCCAACGTTACAAATGGACAGAGAGGAACAATTTAATTTTAGGGGTGTGACCAGAGGTGGGGCTGAAAAAATGTAGGTGTCTTCCTAATAAAAATGTATGCAGACCAATCCTAAAAAAAGAGGATATCGCTACTTGGATGCAAAAAATACACAAAGTGAAACAAATATTTATTGAAGAAAATGAATGAATGTTTTGGGTTCTCCCCTTTCTCAGTGGAAAATGGGAGAATCCAAAACATTTGTTATATTCATTCCCTTCAATAAATATTCGGAGCACTTTTTGCATCCAAATAGAGCTGCCATATTTTTCTTTCTTCTTACTGGTCCGAGTTTTGTGACCTCTGATTAAGCCACAGGAGGCTGAGGTGACAGCACAGTGGTGGGATTGTTTATTACGGTATATTTATAGGTTCTGCACAATCTATCTGCAGTAATATTGTGGTAACAATGTATACAATTAAAATGTAATTTGGAACAAGAACAATGTATCTTATTTACACAGATTGATTTCTAAACACATTTATTGTAGTTTTAAGACACATTACTGGGAGTATTATTACTGTGGAGCTCTGTTATACACTCAGATACATTACTGTGAGTATTATTGCTGTGGAGCTCTGTTATGCACTCGGACACATTACTGGGAGTATTATTGCTGTGGAGTTCTGTTATACACTCAGATACATTACTGTGAGTATTATTGCTGTGGAGCTCTGTTATGCACTCGGACACGTTACTGGGAGTATTATTGCTGTGGAGCTCTGTTATACACTCAGACACATTACTGGGAGTATTATTGCTGTGGAGCTCTGTTATACACTCAGACACATTACTGGGAGTATTATTGCTGTGGAGCTCTGTTATACACTCAGACACATTACTGGGAGTATTATTGCTGTGGAGCTCTGTTATACACTCAGACACATTACTGGGAGTATTATTGCTGTGGAGCTCTGTTATACACTCAGACACATTACTGGGAGTATTATTGCTGTGGAGCTCTGTTATACACTCAGACACATTACTGGGAGTATTATTGCTGTGGAGCTCTGTTATACACTCAGACACATTACTGGGAGTATTATTGCTGTGGAGCTCTGTTATGCACTCAGACACATTACTGGGAGTATTATTGCTGTGGAGCTCTGTTATACACTCAGACACATTACTGGGAGTATTATTGCTGTGGAGCTCTGTTATACACTCAGACACATTACTGGGAGTATTATTGCTGTGGAGCTCTGTTATACACTCAGACACATTACTGGGAGTATTATTGCTGTGGAGCTCTGTTATACACTCAGACACATTACTGGGAGTATTATTGCTGTGGAGCTCTGTTATACACTCAGACACATTACTGGGAGTATTATTGCTGTGGAGCTCTGTTATACACTCAGACACATTACTGGGAGTATTATTGCTGTGGAGCTCTGTTATACACTCAGACACATTACTGGGAGTATTATTGCTGTGGAGCTCTGTTATACACTCAGACACATTACTGGGAGTATTATTGCTGTGGAGCTCTGTTATACACTCAGACACATTACTGGGAGTATTATTGCTGTGGAGCTCTGTTATGCACTCGGACACATTACTGGGAGCATTATTGCTGTTCCTTTCTAACTAGAGACACTTGGGAGATATGACTTAACCAGGAACTGACCAGGATTGACAGAATTCTTGTGAATTATGCTGGTGAAATCTGACACTGAAACTTTTTTTTCTATTGTCAATTCTCCACAGTTCCCATTTTAGTGAATAAATCCCTTTTATACAGATTGCCTGTGTTGTTTTTTCTTTCCTGTAATAATGTATAGGAAGTTGTATGTTAGAAACAATGAAAGCAATCTCGATGATTATATCTAAACCAGGAATTGCAACGTATTGTAGTACAAGAACAACATTGAATAAGCACCTCGTTTTCGCACTGACTTTCCTTTGCGCATAATAAATGTGACGCGTTTGCGTACCTCAGAGATTGCGTTAG